TGTCAAAAGCCTTACTGAAACCTAGGTAAGCAATGTCTACTGCACCACCCTAATCTATAATTTTAGTTACCCAATCAAAAAAAATCAAATCAAAATAACAAAAAAGGTCTGCAGGCGTTAACACCATCCCCGATCCGCCTCTTTGGCTGACATCACAAGAATTGATGATCTCAGTCAAACCAATGCTTTCCCACAGGGACATACAGATTCACACATGGGAAAGCATTAGATTAGCGGAGATATTCAAGGAGGCAGGATGGAGCGGAGCCAAACACCGCCCTGGCCAATCAGCATCTCCTCATAGGAAACACTGGAGGTATTTCTAAGCTGTAAAGTAAACACTACTTTTTCTCTGAAAAGACAGTATGTGCAACAAAAATCCTGCAGGGACTGATTATACTCACCAGAACAACTACATTAAGCTGTAGTTGTTCTGGTGTCTATAGTGTCCTTTTAAGGTCAGTTTAAAAAAAAAAAATTTTCAACAGGTTTTACGGGGGGTGGGGGGTAAGTTATGCACCATCGGATGCAACAGTTTTATTATGAGGGTTGGAGTAACCCTTTAATAATGAGCTAAGATGGAGGCTTTCAGTTACAAGATAAAAAGGGGTGGATTTATATGTTTAAATTTCTTTTACACACCTCACAAATATATATTATATATAGGACAATGTTAACAATGTGACAAATCCTGATAAGTATCTGTTACCCTTTAAAGAACTGTGTGGGCCATGCTCTTCAAATACCAGGGAGTACAGCAGGTAACTTGGAGAGACAATTGAATATTCCCATATAACAAAGTATCCTTTCCCAGTCTAAAGGCAGACACTCAATTTTACCACAGACATGTATGGAACCCAATATTAAGTTATTAAAACCCAGGAAGCAGGAACTATACACCATACACAGCATGTCTTAGATCCACTGTGTGTATTAGTTGTACCAGCAGTGACTACTAAACATTATCAATACAGGTGAACGAAGTACAATCCTCCCTTATTGATCATTTAATATTGCAATGAAAATTTTGCTGCCTGTACTCCGTGTGTTTGAATAAGTAAATTAAATTGATTGTGTGTGTTTATGAGTCCAGTCAGTATATACATCTACTCTATGAGGTGAGATGACGTGATGGAGGTATGTATTTATTTTATTCACAAATGATTAATGGAGAGTACATATATATATTTATACAGTGTAGAGAAAGCTTGCAAATAATTATCTGAAGTACAGCATTCATCTACCATGAAATGTGATCTTATCACATTTCTAAAAATTGACCAGAAGAATTGAGCTAACACACAAAAGCAAAAAAGTTATCTACTCCCACATCAGTTACACTCTGTGTTGGGGTATATATAAAAATCAGCTTCATTATAGAGCTAATTTCTAAATCAGACTTCGGGATAATGATCAAGACACATTTTATTCCAATGTACTAGTGATGCAGAAATAAAACTAATTCTCAAGGGTTCAAAAAGTTTATCTCAACTATGTACATGTATGAACAAGTGTGCATGCCTGTAAGGATGTTTTGGGAAAGGTCCTTCTGACTTTGGACACTGACTTATTGTTAATTAAATAAATGATCTATTGTTTTATTTGTACAATACAGTATTGTTTACTGAATTTCATTAACCATAAAAATTTTTTACTTTTTGGACACAACACAAAGCAATTACAAAACACACACAGACAAACACACTCACTTCAACAAGCTGTTCCTTCTGTTCTGATAGCTTGCAGGTATATTCAGCGACCGCTTCCAGGTTTCCTTCCACCCCCGCAATCTTCAGTGCTTTCAGGACCATGTGGTCCGCATGAAATTTTAGCAAGTCTGCTGCCAGTACTGTAGCGGCATTGTGAAGCTGAAAGACAGGAAAGGAATTAAGAACTACAAAAAGTTGTACACGCAAAGTTCTGCAACACAATGCTCATAAAATAATACAAACACGAGGCTCGTCCAAAGAGATCTCTGACAACTTCAGGGATCCTAAAACATTATGGCTGATCTAAAATGATCTGTATAGAGTTAAAAGAATAGTTTAAATGCAATCCCAAGTTCTGCTTTCCTAAATAGCCCCAAAAGATTGTATTACTGGAACATCTTTCACTACAAATTGAACTGAACACATGCAAAAACAGTTGCAATGGCAGTCACAAGATGTCAATATTACTGAGTTTGCGTGGTTCTCTCGATTGTAATCGTGTACTCATATTGGGCCACAAAGCCCTTTTACATGTGATTATAATGCTTACTACTCTTACTCATTGTCTGTAATCTACACTAAAAGATCTTTTTTTTCTCTCAAGCCAAGGAGCACTTTAATAATTGGTGCACCTACGGTTTTCGTTTTACCATCATCAGCAGCTTATAAAAGGTCACATTTACCTGAATCTTTCCGAAATATACATAATTGTAGACAAACTGAGCAGATAGCTCCCACCTGTGCTGTCTCTCCTAAATCAGTCTGTTCTATCTCTTTCTCGGAACTTATCTGTTATATGTACATGACGTTCATCCCTATGTCTTATCTGTACTCCTTTCACTCCCTTGAATATACCAAAGATCACATTGGATCTATATCACTTATTAGTTTTAATCACTTGCCAGATGGGGTTCCCAATCGTAATGCTGATACTGTGTATTACAAAAACACATTTTAAGGACTGCATTCAACCTACTAAAGCTTGAAGGCAATGCATTCATGGCACACTGCTTAAAAGCCACTGAGCTACGATATATTTACATTTTTCTTCTTTTCTGTATTTTATGACTTGCATTTGTACAGGTTTAACTTAGAAAAGGAAAACATGTGCATAAGTAAATGTAAATAATTCACACCACTTACTAAACTGCCAGAAACTGAACAGTAAGTAGACATTTGCCACTTATACACAGCATATAAATTTATATTTTTACGGATTCAGTAAGTGCATCAACTTTGGTCTTGACAAACCAGCAAATATAATATATGCCTTACAATAAAAAAAATATATATATTTATTTTTTCCTAGCTTTGATATTCATGTAATGCTTTCTTAACAACCTCTGTAAGGAGAAAATTAGCAATTTAATCTGCATCCATCAGCCAGGGAAACACGAAAGCAATCAAAAGGCAGTGATGTGCAGCTGTATGTGTACACTCTACATCCAACGTCTGTCTAGCTGGAGATTTATTTTACTGGTGCAATGGCCTATATTAATATTTGCTTCATATCCCAAATAAGTGCCATTTGTTTTGCATTTAGATCTGGCAAAAGAAAATATATAGCAAATGTCAAGTCCTATACGATTCATCCAATATGGGCCACTAAAACTTTGAATCCATATGAAGTTTTCATGGTGCCAGGAGGCCCCCAGAGGCACTCTCGAATGGTTTAACCCAAAGTTGTCTCTATCGGCAATGTCCACTCCCCCCGGTGGCATCCGGCTCCTGAATTTTCAAATTTAGGAAGCGTGGAGTCAGACACTTACATACAGACATACACACACTCATATACAGACACAAGGACACATACACACAGACATCCACACATATACAGACATACACAAACACAGACAGACATATACACACACATACAAAGACAGACACACATACACTCAAATACCTTTCCCTGGGGTCCTGTGGCTCAGGCTGATGGGAGTCAGAGTTCCTCCTGCATGGCTCCCAGTTGTTGATGGGAGGAAGTGACCAGGGCAGTCACTTCCTCCCAGCCTTTGACATCATCATAGGGGGCCCGGTTGCGCTGTTAAAGCGCTGACTGGGCCCCCTAGAATTACATAGCATTGGGTGGCCCTAACAGCTTGGGCCCCTTGATGAGCCCCTTCAACGCGGCCCCGGCAGTGACACAGCACGGGCCGGGGCCACATTACTCAGCTGGTGGGACCCGTGGTCACAGGGGTCCGCAGGGCGGCCGGGCCCCCTGGAATGATGTGCCTGGTCACAGCTGCGACTCCTGCGACAGCGGTAGTTCCGCCACTGCATGGAGTGCCGCCGGGCAGGGGTGACATTGATTAGCTGAGAGCAGTCAGCTGATGCTCTCAGCCAATCAGTGACACTCCATTTACAAAACTGGTTTGGAAACAAAGATGCCTCAGAAGTCATGTGACGTAGTACGCACTATTGCCAGCATCAAAAACCAAGGCAACCTATGAAGCCTTTATAAGGGTCTATAATGCTTTCCTACCTGGCTTCTGCTTATGTAAGTGAGAGATCCCTCAGCCTCACGTTATGGGAATGTGCCACAATGCCGTGACACTGGGTGGAAGTGACCAGTTCTCACCTTCCCAGCATCAGAGATATTACATGGGCCCGGTCACACTGTTACAGGGCCACAGTGCACGACTTGGCCCCTGTGAGCAATACCCTCCGGGTGGCCCCAAGTGCATGGCCCACATGATGAAACCTTCAAGCATGTTGACGCCGTGTGTGCTACACCGCTGGCAGTTCTGCCACTGGAAAGGTAACTTTGCAATTGCTGCATAAACATGCAACTAGCACAAAATATATATATATATATATATATATTATATATATATGTATATTAAAAAAAATTATTATATAATATATATATATATATATATATATATATATATATATATATATATATATATATATATATAAATATATATATATAATTATATATATATATATATATATATATATATATATATATATATAAAGAAAATGAAATTGTTATTTTGCTCAATGTTCTACTACATTATGCAAATACCCAATCTATTTTGTTCTTGTTTCAAAATACAGGTTTTTCCAGAAATTACAAAAAACAAAACAAAAAACCAACAAAACTTAAAAAACAAAACACAGCTAAGAACATAAAGAAGCTGTACAGGCCTGGTTATGGAAGTCTAGTCCTTTGTAATGCAAAATTAAAAAGAATTATGTGCTTGAAATAAGTGGGGCAGGCCAGGTACAGAGAGTGTGTGTGTGTGTGTGTGTGTGTGTGTGTGTGTGTGTGTGTGTGTGTGTGTGTGTGTGTGTGTGTGTGTGTGTGTGTGTGTGTGTGTGTGTATATATATATATATATATATATATATATATACACATACATACACACACACACAGACTTATGCAAAAGAATGTATATGAAGTTGTGTGTGTAATACACACTATGTGTATTTCACAAAGAGGTTATTTGTTATACTCTGTTTCTAACCCTTGCTGCCCCACTACATATACTTAAATATGCATACACACAAACTGAAATTCTTGTCTTTCCTCCCTCAAGTGTTGCTACTCCTGTGTCTGTCAAATCCTGCCGCTTCCATCTCAAAAACATTGCACACATCCAACCCTACTTAACGCCAGATGCAACTAAGCTGCAGGTCCATTCCACTGTCCTTTCTCGCCTGGACTACTGTAATCCGCTTCTTAGTGGTCTTACGTGCTCCCAACTTGCGCCGTTACAGTCCATAATGAATGCGGTGGCAAGGCTCATCTTCCTGTCCGCCCACACCTCCCACGCCTCACCCTTCTGTCAGTCCCTACATTGGCTTCCTGTAAGATATAGGGCTCAATTTAAAATTCTGGTTCTTGTTTCAAATCTCTACATAATGCTGTTCCCACCTATCAATCCTTCCTAATACACAAGTATGTCCCATCTAGGCCATTACGCTCTGCTGAAGACTTACGTCTATTTTCTCTCTGTATTCCCACCTCTGATGCTCGCCTTCTAGACTTCTTGAGGGCTGCACCGTTGCTGTGGAACTTAGTTCCCTCCTCCGTTAGATGCTCACCCAGTCTCCACTCCTTCAAAAAATCATTAAAAACCCACTTCTTCATAAAAGCGTATCAATTAGCTCCCGACTGATTCCTCTCTTGCAAATGTCATTAGTCTAATACTATCCTTACCTTTTTGTGTCACTTTACCCCACTCCCTCTAGCATGTAAGCTCATTGAGCAAGGCCCTCAACCCCTCTGTTCCTGTGTGTCCAACTTGTCTGGTTACAACTACAGGTTTGTTCGTCCACCCCCTGTAAAGTGCTGCGGAATTTGTTGGCGCTATATAAATAATAACATAAGAATATTAACAGAATAGTGGTCATATGATAGCAGGGTGCAGTAGGACTTAAAATTGTATTTGCCAAGCATCATGTTCTGCAGGGTTATACAAAAGGTAAGGGGGGGGCGGGGGGAAACAACACATGTATGTGTAGAATATAAAGGAATATGAAGGCGTTCTAGGCTGGTGGACAGATGAAATATATGAACATATGTTATCGCCCATAAAAAGGGTCACAGAAGTAGAGGGGTTAGAGAATAAATATTATTTCATTAATTCCTAAGTCACTAGTATGCATCCTCTATGGTTAAGACCAAATACAACTTGTGGGTTTTAATAGAATTAGACTGGCAGATAGGAATACAGAAAAAACACATCACTTCTCTGGTGTTCAAAGCATTAAAGCAGATTTTAATAATCTACATATTTTAAAAATAAAATCAAAAGGCTTACAAATATTCATGCATGTTACAGGAGTCCATAACAGCAACAAATCCATCGAGGCTAAATATTAATAATATATTGTGGCAGATCAGATAGTTAGGCATTAGGAGACCGGAAGTCTGTGCTCTAATTCTGGCACTGTGACCACTTTCCATCTGACCTTGTAAGTGTCACTCTACCCTGTTCTCAATATCGGCTTACTTGACCATATAAATAAATCTAAAATAAACAAAAAATTTCAGGCACACACAACACATGCAAGACAAATAAACTCTGAGCAAAGCTGAAAAAAGAAAGAAAAAAAATCACAACAACATTTTAGTTGTTTTTTATTCCTGTAATTATGTACTGGCAATAAAATAATTAACCTAGAACAAATGATTCCTATGGTTTCACATCATATTAAGATTAACATATTTTGCTGGTAAAGGAACAAAAATGTAAGTATGAAGATTTGCAGTCTATCCAACATTAAGGCAATATGAAAAGTCGGTCAATGGTAAATGTAAAGGCACTAATCTCCTGCTTACTGAGTTTATTAAAAACGTTAAGATGGTTTGAAGCAGTGGGGGCTCTGGATGCAGAAAATTGTTTTCAAACAGTAGCATAGTTATTGAGACTAAAAGTAATTTAATATCTCACCCCCCCCAAGGAGAGTGCTTAAAAAGAAATATCTTCTTTAAGATTGCCTATAGTTTAGTATGTCTGTGGCACGTGCATGCAAAAAGCAATGCTAATTTATTTATTTTTGATAACTCCAGAGTAGACCTAAAGGGTTTATGATACTTTTTAATTTACTGAAAGCAGTTAATAAGAAGTTGGAACTTGTACAAAGATTCAACTATATCCGTTTTTCAAGTGTATAGCAGAAGATTAACATGTGATAGAAATAGTGCATATGAATGGCACTGGGTTTATTTAATTACATGTATTACTATTTACTGGCAAACACTATTCACAGTATAATTTTCTGTATAAAAGTGCAATGGCATGAGTCTAGTTTTGTATGGTGCATGTCCAGGTATGCAGTTTCAAGTCAGGAATCCATAACATGTATGATTTGCACTCATTACTCCTCACTGAAGACAATGCTCCTTTTACCGGAAGCGGTCAGCCTGTGCAATACATTCACTCTCTAACCCAGTGTTTCCAATTGGTGTTCCGCTGCATTTTGCCACATTCAAGATGGCCGCCGCTACCTGCTGTTCCTGGAAGGTCGGAAACAGCAGAGATCTTAAGCCCGCCTTGCCATCAGAGCCTGCCCTAGCGCCCGCCTTGCCATCAGCCAGCAACTTAGCTTGGCCGTGAGAGAGCCCGCCCAGCCATCACCCAGCCTGCTCAGCAGTCAGCCCTGCCGACAGCCATTTTCTGTCACTTGATAGAGATTGGAGCTGATAGTTAAAGATCTGTTAGGTAGGGCCATAGAAAGCTCTGTTAGGTAGGGGCAATAGAAAGCTCTGTTAGGTAGGGGCAATAGAAAGCTCTGTTAGGTAGGGGCAATAGAAAGCTCTGTTAGGTAGAGGCATTGAAAGACTCTGCCAGGGGCATTGAAAGACACTGCCAGGGGCATTAAAAAGCCAGTGAGGGGCATCGAATGACTGTCCGGGGCAAAAAACTGTTAACTGTATTTTTCAAAGGGTTCAAATCTTTTTCCTCCAAGTCTAACTCAAAAAGCATGCTTTAGTTCAGTTCTTTCTAAGAGCGTTCTCAAAATCAGCATATTTTTCAGTCAGTTTGTGAGATCTGTATTTTTCAGGTTTTTTTTTGTTTTTTTTACCAATAAAGAACTATGACTTTGGAAAGCTGGTTAAAGCAGGGAACTCTTCAGAGAAAAAGGATTACTACTTATACCTGTTCGGCACTTATAGAAACTGAGAAAGAAGATACAACAAAAAAATCCAGAAAACATGCCCAAAATAGTTTTATCTTCTGTTCCTCAAATAACAGGGACAAGTGGCAAGCAAAAAAAAAAAAAAAAATTAGAAAAGCACACAATGCTTGTCAATCTTCTTCTCAAACAAAGAAAAGAAAATATGATGATAGCTACTTGTCATTTGGATTCACAAGTGCCAGAAATAAAAAAATATACCTCAAGCACAATGCTTAGTTTACAAGAAAATATTGCCAAACCGTTCAAAGGGTTCCACTGGAAACATTAATTGGAAACCACTGCTCTAATCTAATCGTGGGCATCTGTCTGCAGGGGGTGGTGGGGTGGCACTTGCCGCCGCCCCGGTATTTTTCTTTTCAGATTTAGAATACACTGCAATAACAGCGCCGGCCAGTAGGTGGCACTGTGTGTGGAGAGAGGCAGGGATAGAAAGCTACATCTTATCCCTGCTTCTCTCTCCTGACTGATTCCGCAGGGAAGCAGCACATAATGCAGTCAGCAACTCCCGGACTGCAGAGACAGCCTACAGATCAGGTAAGTGAGGATGTAGGGGCAGCCTACAGGAAGGGTCAGCAAGAAACAGGAAGGCAAAATAGGAAAAGGAGCAGAAATGAACAGGGAGGGTCTGCAAGCAGCAGGAAGGGACAGAAGGAGCACAACAGTAAAGGAGGAGAAGGTGCAGAACGGGGCAGCAAGGAGCACAAAGGTAAAAGAGCAGAAAGAATCAGAAGGAACACAAAGGTAAAGTAAGGGAAGGAGGAGCAGAAAGGGCTAGCAATGAGCTGGAAAGGGCAGCGAGGAGCAGAAAGGGCCAGCGAGGAGCAGAAAGGGCCAGCGAGGAGCGAGCACAATGTTAATGTAGGAGAAGGAGCAGAAAAGAATAGAAATGAGCAGAAAGGGGCAGCAATGAGCAGAAATGAGAAGAAAAGGAGATTGGAGCAGAAAGGACAAGTGAAGTGATCTCTCCACTTCATTCTGGACACCACATCATAATGGTTTGGTAACTGGACCTGGCAGGGAAACTTTGGACCTTCTCATCTCCCCAGGTAAGAAAAATAGTGTTAATGTGTTCACATTTATTTACTGAGTGTCAGGAAACCTAGAGTGTCACTGGGTAGGGGTGTCGCTGATTGGCTAGAGTGGTCAGCTGGCACTCTAAGCCAATCAGTAGCTTCCCATTCATAAAAAGTAAAATATTTTTATGAACCGGGAACTAGCGATTGGCTTAGAGCGTCAACTGACCACTCTAGCCAATCAGTGGCACCCATGTCTGATGTCAATTTGTAATTCTTGACACTCCGGTTTAGAAGCTGAATACCACTGAGAGACCTAGAGATCTGGAGCTGATGGAGCCTTTGGGGTTAAACCATTTGAGAGCGGTTTAACCCCTTAAAGGAAAAAAAGAGCCCAGGGGCCTCCTGGTATCCTAGCATTTTCATTTAGATGAAGTTGTTACTAGAATGTTCCTTTAATTTGATTAAAGGAACACTCTAGTGTCAGGAATACAAACATGTATTCCTGACACCATAGTTGTGAAAACGCTATTCACCCTGGCTTTATGTGATAATGACTATGCCCCTCCCCTTCATGACACTGTCAACAAGGTGCCAGGCATGGATGTAAAAATCCTTGCGGACGCCCATGAACTTAATCACCCTTTATTAAGATAAAGTCATATGGAAAAATTGAACAAAAAAAAAAAGTGTGTTAAAGCAGTGTGGAGTAAGCTATA